CGAAGTTCCAAGACCGCGGAAGTATGGGGGAAAACAAGATGCCCAAGAGATAGAAAACTTTCTATGGTTCATGGAGAGGTACTTTGAAGCTACTAGTGTCCAAACTGAACAAGAGAGAGTGAACATCGCAATTGGGTATCTTAGGGATCATGCAATCGCATGGTGGCAACAAAAGCTTGCCGAAATTGTACAAGGTACGTGCATCATTAACACTTGGGAGTTGCTCAAGTGTGAGATCAAGAAGCAATTCTATCCGAGCAATGTAGCATATGAAGCACGGAAGAAAATGCAGAAGCTTAAGCACACGGGGCCTATTTCTATGTATGTGGATGAGTTCTCTAAACTTATGCTTCAAGTTAATAATATGAACTCAGAAGATTTGCTATTCAATTTTATGGTGGGGCTCTAACCCTGGGCACAAAGGGAGCTCTAAAGGCATCAAGTTGCCACCATCTCCACCGCCCTTACCAAAGCCGACACCTTTGTTGAGTTCCACAAGTGTGAACCATCCAAGCCGAAGAAAGACAACAAGCTTGATTACGGCAAAGGTGGGGAAGGGAAGGGAGACAAACCATCTCACCATTGAGAAAAGGGAGACAAGTCACCTCATAAGAAGGAATGGCGGAAGGATGGCAAGAAGGAGTACAAGCATCAGGAGAACTGTTATCTTTGCAATGGGGATCATTGGATCTGAGATTGCCCTAAGCGCCAAGGCCTTCAATGCCATGTTCGAAGAGAGGCTCCTAAGACACTCGCATCCGAGATTGCCAACATGGGGTGCCTCCAACTTCTCAATGCCTTGAAGGTAAAGCCTGCACAACCTAAAGTTTAGGACAAGTCCCTCATGCATGTTGAAGCCACCATCAATGGGAAGAAAGTTCAAGCCTTGTTAGACACAGGTGCTTCCCACAACTTCATCAAAGATAGCAAGCAAGAAGGTTAGGCCTCAGGGTGGAGAAATCAGATAGCTAGCTTAAGACGGTGAATGTAGAAATGTTGCACTTTTGGATGACTTTAACCTTGTTCTTGGCATGGAGTTTCTTACACAATTCAATATGGTGTCCCTACCGCGATACAACTCTATGTGCATCCTTGAGGGAGTTCCATGCATGGTTCTGACGGTGAGCAAGGCCGCACTAAGCAACCAACTCTCCTCAATGCAAATTGAGAAGGAACTTAAGCGGAAAGAAGAGACCTTTCTTACCATCGTGCATGAGTTGAAGATGAGGGAGGTATGGATACCATGCCGCCCGAGTTGTTGAAATGCCTACCACCTAGGAGGGAGGTGGACCATAAGATTGAGTTAAAGCCGAGAGCTAAACCACCCACCAAAGCCCCATACCAGATGTCACCACCGGAATTAAATCAGTTGCGGAGACAACTCAAGGAACTTTTAGAAGCCGGATTCATCAAGCCTTCGAAAGCACCATATAGAGCTTCGGTTCTCTTTCAAAAGAAGCATGATGGGTCGTTTCGCCTTTGCATCAACTACCGGGCACTCAACAAGGTAACCATAAAAAACAACTATCCCATTCCACTAATTGTCGATTTGTTTGATCAACTTGGACAGGTCAAGTACTTCTTTAATCTTGATTTGAGATTAAGGTATTACTAAGTGCGGATTGCGGAAGAGGATGAGCCAAATACCGCATGTGTGACACGTTATAGAGCCTATGAGTTCAAAGTCATGCCTTTCGGCCTCACCAATGCCCCTGCCACATTTGCACCCTCATGAACCACATCTTCCATCCATACCTTAATCGGTTCATGGGGGTCTATCTCGATGGCATTGTGGCATACAACAATACTCTTGAGGAGCATGCCAAGCATTTGTAGACAGTTTTTTAAGTGTTGTAAGAAAATGAGTTCTATGTCAAGTGGGAGAAGTGCTCATTTGCCAAGCCGGAGGTAGAGTTTCTCGACCACAAGATCAAAGATGGGAAGCTCACCATAGATGAAGCCAAGGTGAAGGCTATTGTGGAGTGCGAAGCCCCAACAAAGGTTACCAAGTTACGCTCTTTCTTAGGCCTCATCAACTATTACCGAAGATTCATCAAAGGCTATTCCACCATTGCTATACCACTCACGGATTTGCTCAAGAAGACCATAAAATGGGAGTGGATGGTTGATCGCCAACATGCCATTGACTCTTTGAAGAAGGCCATCGGTGTTAGCATTGCCCAACCATGCTCAACCATTTGAGGTATATACCGATGCATCTGACTTTACTATTGGAGGTGTGTTAATGTAGGATAAACATTCATAACATTTGAAAGTCGAAAGCTTAATGATACGGAGTGGCGATACATAGTACAAGAAAAAGAAATAATCGTTGTAGTGCATTGTCTACGCACTTGGCGACACTATAGTTCTTGGTGAAGATGGACAATGTGACAACAAGTTACTTCCAGAGTCAGAAGAAACTCAGCCCTAAGCAAGTTAGATGGCAAGACTTCCTGGACTATGTGATGGAATACAAGCCCGAGAAAGCCAACTTGGTGGCAAATACATTAAGTCAGAAGGCCGAGTTTGCAGCCATAAGCAACATACAAGGGGATCTCCTCAAGCTCATAAAAGAGGGTCTCGAGCATAACACATTGGTCAAGCAACTCATCACCTTAACTCAAGATGGCAAGATCATGCATTTTTTGGGTAAAAGAGGGTCTCCTTTACACCAAGGGGATGAGGGTGTATGTTCCGAAGTGGGAAAACTTGCGAAGGAACTTGATCAAAGAGTGTCACGACACCAAATAGGCTGGACATCTTGGACAAAGGCGTACCCGAGCACTATTAGAGGCAACTTACTATTAGCCATAAATGTGGGACAATATGGAGCAATTTGTGAGAACTTGTCTTGTGTGCCAATAAGATAAGGTGGAACACCAAACCCTGCAGGTTTATTGGAGCCGTTAGCCACATCAAGTAGACCATAGGAGAGCATCTCCATAGGAAAGCATCTCGATGGATTTCATAATATTTCTACCGAAATCCAAAGGGTTTACCACCATCATTGTTGTTGTGGATAGGTTGTCAAAGTATGCCACTTTCATCCCTACACCAAAGGAGTGCACAACGGAAGACACTGCCAAACTATTTTTCAAGCATAAGGTGAACTATTGGGGTCTTTCAAAATCCATAATTAGCAATCGAGATGGTTCATGAAAAGATTTTGGACAGAATTGTTCAAGCTCATAGGGTCAGCATTGCACTTTTCCACAAGCTTTCACCCTTAAACCGACGGGCAGACTGAGAGAGTGAATGCTTTGCTAGAGATATATCTGCGACACTTTGTGAGCGCCAACCAACTTGATTGGGCAAAGTTGCTTGATGTAGCCCAATTCTCATATGATTTGCAGGGGGATAAATCCACCAACAAAAGCCCATTCGAGATGGTGATGGGTCAACAACAACTCACGCCGCACACCTTGGGTACAAGTTATAAGACGAGAAGCCCCGCAACATTCAGAGTTGCTAAGTCATGGCATGAGCAAGCTGACATCACATGGGCATATCTTGACAAAACAACCAAGAAGATGAAGAAGTGGGCAAACAAGAAGCGGAGGCATGTGGAGTACAATGTGGGAGATCTAGTACTTGTCAAAATCCTCCCATCACAACACAAGTCCACCCGACCACTACACAAAGCCCTTATCCGAAGATATAAGGGGTCATTTCCTATAATCAAGAGGGTTGATAATGTATCATACAAGCTCGAATTGGTTGAGACTTCATCCGATTTTCCATGTGAATTGTTTGAAGTCGTACCATGAAGATGCGAAAGATACGGGACGGGGAGAATCAAAACGGGCACTATTTGGCAACACCAAGTTTTATGACAAAGAGGTGGAGTGTGTGTTAGCCGATCACGTCGTTTGATGAAACGGCCATCCTCCAAGTCATGAATACTTTGTCAAATAGAAGAGGCTACCAAAGAGTGAAGCAAGTTGGGAACCAGAAGATGCATTGTGGCAATTCAAAGACAAGGTCCAAGAATTCCACGAAGAGTCGATGAGGACATCTCTGAATTAGGTGGGGGAGAATGTGACGCCTCTCAAGCATTTCATCAAACACTTGGTGTGCATCACCTCGACACTCTAGAGTTCTATTGAACCTTCTAGAATACTCATGTATTTGCTACACTTTTGTAATTAATACGATAGTTGGTAGATGGTAGGTGGTAGTTTGGAGTTAGCTAATCTCCACCGTTGATTGTGGAAGATGTAGATCGTCCATCGTAAGCTCCATCTACTATAAAGGGGGAGGCCTTCATTTGGTCAAACCATCCAAGAATTGAAAAGCATTCTCTTATTAGTAAAAATTTCTCTTCTAGCATCTCTTGTAAGTTTGTGGGAGTGTTTTCTTTTTCTCAATGCTAGAAGCTTGAACGAGCAAGGCTGACTTAGGGCAATCGTCGGGAGATTGGCCCTTAAGGCCGCATGAGTATGAAGGGAAATAATTAGGTCGTGACGCTTGGCCTTAAGAAGACGCAACCTTGCTATGTTTATGTTTGTTAATGTGTTGATACGTGGGTGAGCTTTTTGGGGAAGGTGGGAGTAAAACTAAAAGAAAGTTTTAAGTTAAAGGTTTGACTTGAGTTAAGTTAATTTTTTTTTTTTAAGTGAAAAGTATAAAATAATTGTTTCACCCTTTAAAATTTAACAAAAGTCTAATAGAGTTGGCATTTGGAATTGGGGGTCAGTGAGGCATTTGCGAATATAGGGGAGTTTGAAAAATTATTTCTATTTGAGATTGATTTCAATAAAATTTGTTTTCAAGAAATGACGAATTCATAAGGGAAAACAATCAGCTCATTGGTTGATGAATAAATGGTTTGGCTTGGCCCATGCTTTTAAGAAAACTATAAGAACCATTTGAATAGTATTTTCTGAAAATAGTTTTAAATAAACGAGTTCCCCATAGCACCCATTAGAAATGCACGTGCCGGCACGTGCGATACAAAGACCGAATACGTCCCTTAAAACACTTCCGAGTTTCGACTCATACAAACTCAAATAGAATTTTTTTTGAATTTCCCATTTACTACACGAAAGAACTTCCATTTTACTAATTTACTCTGCCAAACTCGACATCTTGTGTTTACTCAATTCTATTCTGTGATCCCCAAACCCGAATCAAATCATCACCGTCAAATTTCCAGATCTCAACCTGTCGCCACAGCTGATCCGTGCTGATCGTTAAACCACTGGATCCGACATGCCGGTGGCTGCTTCGGCTATATACTTTTTGAATCTCCGTGGCGATGTTCTTATCAATCGCCTCTATCGCGACGACGTCGGGTTAGCTTGGCTTCGCTTTTCTTATTATTCATCTTTATTATCATTTCTTACCATTCGAGTATCTTGTTTATGTGGTAAATTAGACTAATTAACTAATTAATGTTAGGGGAAATATGGTGGACGCGTTTCGAACGCATATTATGCAAACGAAAGAGCTCGGTACGTGTCCGGTACGGCAGATCGGAGGTTGCTCGTTCTTTTATATGAGAATTAGCAATGTTTATATTGTAATTGTTGTTAGCAGCAATGCAAATGTGGCTTGTGCGTTCAAGTTTGTCGTTGAGGTAGTTAACGCACTCTTATTGTTTGTAGCTTCCTATTTGTACCTGCGATTTTGGGGTTTTGAGTTTGCAATTTTGTTTTATGCAGGCGGTTGCCTTGTTTAAGTCTTATTTTGGTGGGGCTTTTGATGAAGATGCCATCCGGAATAATTTCGTTCTCATTTATGAGCTATTGGATGGTAAGGAGTTCAATTGTTGTTCTTTTTATTTTTGTAATTCTCTTTTAATGTAGTTGTATGGGCCGTTTTCTTTCTTTAATTTTTTGAATTCTTGTTAAGTATGCTTTGATACGGAAAACTGTAATGCTATCTGGTTATTATGAGAGGAAGGCTTTGACATGCACATGACTAGTGGCTTATTTGCTTTTACAGATACAATGTTATGACTCTATGAAAAAAAGTTAAATTCTACTCATGATACAACCATGAAAAATAATAAGTCAAAGTAAGAGCCGAGTAGATATACAGTGCATCACTCTGTTGATAGCCCTTCAAATTCAAATGATACTTTGGTGACTAATAACAAGCAAAAGAGATTAGTTTATACGTGCTGGTTTGGTTATTAATAAGGCTATACAAGTTAGTGATGTTAAAATTTTAAAGTGGTCTGTTTAACAATAATGTTATGCATTGTTTACTCCATACTTCGTATCAAAATCTTCATGAGGTTGCATGAGTGATTGATATTAAGCTCTAAAATACAGAAATCATGGATTTTGGCTACCCACAAAATCTTTCTCCTGAGATATTAAAGCTTTATATCACTCAAGAAGGAGTGCGCTCACCATTCTCATCCAAGGTTAGTTGTTTGTTTATAGATTTAGAAATGCGATTTCTTAAGTCAATCTTCAGCAAGTTTTTTTTTTCTTTTTTTTGATATTTTATTTATTTTTCTGAAACATTTTGTTTGTTGTCCTTGAATAATGCATATGCTACATCTTCACATTGAAGGGCTCAGTTTGTTGTTCAATGTTCATGCTATTTATGTATTCTCTAATCATTTGTTTCCATCTCTTGGAAAAAAAATAGCCTACAGATAAACCTGTCCCAAATGCAACTTTACAAGTCACTGGTGCAGTTGGTTGGCGCAGAGAGGGCCTTGTTTATAAGAAAAATGAGGTGATTAAATTGTTTATGTTTCTCTCATTTTCTCTTTCTTGGCGTTGAGGATAACCAATCTGCTAAATTTTATTGTTCGTTTTGTGCAGGTCTTTCTTGATATTGTGGAAAGTGTCAATCTTCTTATGTCATCAAAAGGTGGGCTTATTTTTGCGAAGTGTTTTGGATGATTGTTGTCTTGTTGCTTACAATCAACATGGTGATCATAGGTAGTGTTCTACGCTGTGATGTAACGGGAAAGATTCTTATGAAATGCTTCCTCTCTGGAATGCCTGATTTGAAGTTGGGTTTAAACGATAAAATCGGCCTTGAGAAAGAGTCACAGCTGAAATCCCGTCCTACTAAAAGGTACCTTCTGATGGCTTGCATGTATTATCTACAAAATTTGCCGTGTTGATTATTTTTTTCCTTCTATTATGAATTGCAATTTTATTTGTTAAAAATTGGGTGTGTAGAGGAAACTTTGGGATTTATGGCTCCACTCTTTTATTAATAATTAACTGAATGTCAGAGTTGTTTGTTTACAAATTGCTAAATTCTTTGTTAGAAGATCTCGTTGTTCTCTGGGTCTTATCTTTTTTGGTAGCTTTTGTTCAGTAATTGTTCTTTTAATCTGGTTGCTTTTCAACCATAGAAGGTTAAAAGTTACAGAGTAGCTTGTAGAAGTATCTTATCAGTGACTGAATGGGGATGTTAATATATGTCAGAATTTTCATTATTTTGTAAGTTGAATCACAGTAGATTTTCTCTATCTATTATGCTTCAAACTTCGAAATATTTAAAATAAAATCCTATTTTTCTCTGTGATAATTCTATTGATACCTATTTAGTGGTATTGTTGGATCTAAATGCTGGTATGCATGAGCCATCAGCTGTTGTTTATTTAAAGCAATGTAATTATTCTTTTTGTTTCTGTGATACGCTTCTTATTGGAGTTGTTATATACTTTTTTTTTTTTTTTTTTTTTTTTTTTTTTTTTTTTTGCTTCTGTCTCGCACTATACAGTCAATTAAATAAGCCATGATAACAGTTTTCATTCTTTTCCCATAGGTTAGCACACTTTTTAGATTCTTAAAGTCTATGACTATGTGCAAACCTTGCTGATGTATGAAGGCTATAAGTTTCCGTGTTCAGATTTTTATACGTTTATAAATGGCTTGTCTATATAAATCAAGATACAGTTGGTTTTATAAAATTAGTTTCAAATCATAGTCACATTTGGATTTTATTTGAATTTGAATGAGAGAATGCAAGTTTGCTTTGTTCTTTTAATATATATATATGAGTCAGCTTTTATTCTCGCTGTTTCTTCAGTATATTGAGTGTTGTATTTTGTTTGAGATTATACATATTTAAAATAAAGAACTGCAATATATTTTGTGCTCCTTTTCATGTGGTTAATTGAAATGCTATATTGTTGCAGTGGCAAAACAATTGAGCTTGATGATGTTACTTTCCATCAATGTGTGAACTTGACGAGGTTTAACTCGGAGAAGACTGTGAGTTTTGTGCCACCTGATGGTGAATTTGAATTGATGAAGTAAGTTGAGAAATTTTCTGAACTTCTGTTCTGTGGGAGACTTAAATCTTATAATTGTAGTCATAGGCCATGTGATGATATTGTATTTTACTAACATGCAAATTGGGTTTTTATTTAAGTGAAATTAGCTTCCAGATACCCTCCCTCTGTTTAATTTCCTGCCTTTTATAGAAATACCAGTCACTTAGCCATAATACTGCTGAAAGAATTTTTAGGTTGGTCAAAAAAATTTTGTTGATAAAACTAGCAGTGGGGCATTAACAGTTGACAATTATTTTCACATCATTGTGTCAGCCTAGTTGTTGTTTCCCCATTTATTTTGTACTATATGTCCTTTTAGAGTATAGTTCTGCCTCCCATTTGTTCATCACTTCTGCCATTCCTCTTGATTGAAAATGCGAAAGTATGTAATCAAAACTACTTCATCTTTCGATAAGCTCTATCTTTTGTCTTTGTAGACACTCCTATTTCTTTTTTAATTAGTAACAGAGTAGATTTTTCCCTCTTTAATCTAACTTTACACCTTTAATTCTCAGGTTCTTCATCTACATTGATACTTGGTTTTTTTCCTTTGTGATGACATCACTGTCATTTATACATGAAAGCTCTAGAAAATTACACTGTATTGTACTTTCTTGGTGGTTGCGTAAGTTTTAATTTTCTTGTGCCTGATTGTTTGTCTGAACGATTTAGGTATCGTATAACCGAGGGTGTTAATCTTCCATTCCGCGTCCTGCCAACAATTAAGGAGCTTGGTCGAACTCGCATGGAAGTAAATGTTAAGGTCTGTAGTATTGAAAGTTTTGTATAAAATCTCGTGGTTCTGCATTTTGCTTATAAATTGTAAATTTCAGGTAAAGAGTGTTTTTGGTGCAAAAATGTTTGCACTTGGAGTCGTTATCAAAATTCCTGTGCCAAAGCAGACAGCAAAGACAAGTTTCCAAGTGACATCAGGTCGAGCAAAGTACAATCCTGCAATTGATTGCTTGGTTTGGAAGTGAGTGTTTCAATTCATTCCCTAGTCCATTGATTTGATCTTATATTCTACACTAGTGTGCAGTTTTGTCTATTTTGGTTTCAGTGTTATCTTCAGAAAATAACTGTCTCCCTTATGAGATTTGATGCACCCCAAAAATTTATCTTAATGCTTTTATATCACTTGTTCTTAGCATCTGAAACATATCTGATTGTTGAAAGAATGGCCTCTTGGAAAACTAGTTTTAAACCCCAATTGAGGAGATTGAGGTGAAATGTTTGAATTTCATGTGGCCATATGTTCATTTTTCTTCCTTAGTTTTAGTTCCGAAGTGTTGCTTAGTGTCATGTTTACATACTTTTCAGGATAAGAAAATTTCCTGGGCAAACTGAGCCAACCATGAGTGCAGAGATTGAGTTGATTTCCACGATGGCAGAAAAGAAGTCTTGGACAAGGCCACCAATTCAGATGGAATTTCAGGTTCTTAAATATGTTTCTGTTTTGTGTAGTTCATTGATTTTGATTCATGTAAAGTATTCCACCTTTCATGTACAAAATGCATTGTTCTTGCATCGTTAACATTATCTCTTACCAAGGAAACCCGACTGGATTGATCTTTGTTGTTGCAGGTTCCCATGTTCACAGCATCTGGTTTACGTGTTCGTTTCCTAAAGGTGTTTATTTTTGCTTAAATATCATTTTTTTTTTTTTTTAATCAAAAAACACAATTGACCCCAGCACGTTTCTGCAGGTATGGGAGAAGAGTGGCTACAATACTGTTGAATGGGTCCGTTATATTACCAAAGCTGGTTCGTATGAGATTAGGTGCTAGAAACATGAGATTGCTGCAGTGAGATTTCTACTTTGACTTAAGCAGAGATGGGAATGTTTGCTAGTTGAGCGGAGTTGAAAGGGAATTATATCATAGATTGCCTAGTGACAAGGTGAATATGCCTAAGAGCTTCCCTCTCAAATGATGCAGCTCGGTTTCTGCTTTCTTGTATTCTTGGGGCATATTTAATTGCTCATAGTGGAGTTCTGTCAATATGATTATTGTGATTGATTATCTTGGTTTGATCTGATGTTTGCGGTGTAAAGGCAAGGCTAGCGTCGTAGAAATGGAAAACTGAGCAATTTTTGTGATAATTCATCATACGTTGTTTATTGCGTTTTCCTACAGCTATGTTCAATTTTAATGATAGATTTAGTGGATGAAAATGACTGCGATTGTTTCGAGTGTGGAATCTATTACATATATTAAAGTTGTTTTTATTTCTGCAAGAGGACAACTTATTGCTGATTTCTTTTTTTGTGCTTCACCCTGTCAAAACTTAAGTGTCTGTGAAGGCAGAATATTCTTTTCTGTTCTTTGCTTTTTCTTTCCCCCCGCCTTGTTAATAATGACTTTTTGNGAATTGACCCCAGCACGTTTCTGCAGGTATGGGAGAAGAGTGGCTACAACACTGTTGAATGGGTCCGTTATATTACCAAAGCTGGTTCATATGAGATTAGGTGCTAGAAACATGAGATTGCTGCAGTGAGATTTCTACTTTGACTTAAGCAGAGATGGGAATGTTTGCTAGTTGAGCGGAGTTGAAAGGGAATTATATCATAGATTGCCTAGTGACAAGGTGAATATGCCTAAGAGCTTCCCTCTCAAATGATGCAGCTCGGTTTCTGCTTTCTTGTATTCTTGGGGCATATTTAATTGCTCATAGTGGAGTTCTGTCAATATGATTATTGTGATTGATTATCTTGGTTTGATCTGATGTTTGCGGTGTAAAGGCAAGGCTAGCGTCGTAGAAATGGAAAACTGAGCAATTTTTGTGATAATTCATCATACATCGTTTATTGCGTTTTCCTACAGCTATGTTCAATTTTAATGATAGATTTAGTGGATGAAAATGACTGCGATTGTTTCGAGTGTGGAATCTATTACATATATTAAAGTTGTTTTTATTTCTGCAAGAGGACAACTTATTGCTGATTTCTTTTTTTGTGCTTCACCCTGTCAAAACTTAAGTGTCTGTGAAGGCAGAATATTCTTTTCTGTTCTTTGCTTTTTCTTTCCCCCCGCCTTGTTAATAATGACTTTTTGCTTTTGCTTTCATAACTAGTGACAAGTAGTTCGAAATTCTGACATTGCTAACTTCATGCGTAGTTGAAATTTTGACTATTAATGCAACATGTCTGCCTTTAACCAAGTTGCAATTTTCTCTTGCTTAACTTTTGTTTCGTAATTGCTCTTTGCTTTAGCGACGGCAAAAAGCGCTTTTGAGCTGTTTTTTTTCACAGTCTGCCTTGCTGTAGTGATATGTAATTTCTAGACTTCATTTTACATTACAGGACATGAGACTTCTGTTATGTCTCTTTATATGCTTGGAATGTTGCGAATTGTCTCTTTTATTGGTACCGGCAAGTTACGACTTTTTCTTTAAACTCAATCATGTGAGTCACCTAAAATGCAACCACTTTCATTTCACTATTTTCAAATGCAAGCTAGAAAACAGTTTATTCTTCAAGTAATTCGGCCGCGTTACCCATGCAATCTAGAGTTTGGAGTGGATTTAGAATTTTGGTCCATAATTTATTTTATTACTTCAATTGACCAAGGAAGATTTTCTGCTTCAGCGCCTTATGCAAAGACATTGAAAGTCTTTGATGAAGAGCAATAACAACTAATTAATTAATAATTTGAATAATACAAATAGCACTAGGACCTAGGTGAGGACACTGTCGGATGGATGTCGGCGTTCGAGAAGGAGTGGTTACACTGTCTCTTATGTTTTTGATGGCTTTTGTATACGTTATACATTTTGTGTAAAAATGTATATGTTTGTAAAGAATATGTATATATGTTTAATAAAAGAAAATTTTGGGCCCAATTTCTTTTTGTTATTTTATATGTATTTCATTATAATCTTTTGAGTAGTAGTGGCTATTACAGTATGCGTCATCCCGACATTCTAGAATGTTCTGGAATACTCTTGTATATGCTAGAATCTTGTAATAATACAGTAGTTGGTAGGTGGTAGTTTGGAGTTAGCTAATCTCCATCATTGATTGCGGGAGATCTAGACTGTCCATTGTAAGCTCCACCTACTATAAAACAGGAAAGCCTTCATTTGGCTAAACCATCTAAGAATTGTAAAGTTTCTCTCATTAGTAAAGAGTTCTCTTCTAGCATTTCTTGTGAGTGAGTTTGTGTGAGTTTACTCTTATTTGCAGGGCTAGAAGCGTGAGCAAGCAAGGCTGACTTAGGGCAATCGGCGGGATGTTAGCACCTAAGGCCGCACGAGTCCGAAGGGAAACAATTAGGTCGTGACATTTGGTATTAGAGCCAGGTTGATTCTTGGTTCAAGATGTCGTCTGAAGTTTGCCATGAAGAGCAAAGGGGGAAGGAGGCCAATCCTAACCCCAATCCTTCCAAGAAGAACTCTCGAAGAGGGAAGGACAAGTCCATGGACGTGATGGCCTCCATGGAAGCACGAGTGATGTGCAACGAGGTGAATGTTGCTAAAGTGAAGGAACACTTCGACGTCCTCGATCAAAAGATGGACGATGTAGAAGGTCAAAACCATGGAAAAGTTTCACCAAGATGTTACCAAGAAGCACCAAGCTTTTGCGGAGTTTCAATCGGTGGTGTTGGACTCTCTCAGGGCATTACAAGCGCAAGTCGAAGAGCTTCGATCGGGTCTAGAGGAAAGCAAGGGTGATTGGGTGTTTTACAAGAAGGCAGCAAACGGGGTCGTCACCAATGTCGCACTTCCCACAAGGGTCGAAGTTCCAAGACCACGAAAGTATGGGGGAAAGCGGGATGCCCAAGAGCTAGAGAACTTTCTACGGTCCATGAAGAAGTACTTTGAAACTACTAGTGTCCAAAGTCAGCAAGAGAGGGTGAACATTGCAACCGGGTATCTTGAGGATCATGCAATTACATGGTGGCAACGAAAGCATGCCGAAATTGTACAAGGTATGTGCATCATTAACACTTGGGAGTTGCTCAAGTGTGAGATCAAGAAGCAATTTTATCCGGGTAACGTAACATATGAAGCACGGAAGAAAATGCAGGAGCTTAAGCACACAAGGCCTATTTTCAGGTATGGGGATGAATTCTCTAAACTTATGCTTCAAGTTGATAACATGAACTCGGAAGATTTGCTATTCAATTTTATGGAGGGGCTCCAACCCTGGGCACAAAGAGAGCTCCAAAGGCATCAAGTTGCCAACATCTCCACAGCCCTTACTGAAGCCGATACCCTTGTCGAGTTTCACAAGGGCAAAACATCCAAGCCGAAGAAAGATGGCAAGCTTGACTATGGCAAAGGTGGGGGAGGAAAGAGAGACAAACCATCTCACCATCGAGAAAAGGGAGACAAACCGCCTCATAAGAAGGAATGGCGGAAGGATGGTAAGAAAAAGTACAAATGTCGAGAGAATTATTATCTTTGTGATGGGGATCATTGGATCCGAGATTGCCCCAAGCGCAAGGCCTTCAATGCCATGTTCGAAGAGAAGCAACCTAAAGCACCCATATCCGAGACTGCCAACATAGGGTGCCTTCAACTTCTCAATACCTTGAAGGTAAAGGTAAAGCCCATATAACCAAAATTTCAAGATAAGTCCCTCATGCATGTTGAAGCCACCATCAATAGGAAGAAAGTTCAAGCCTTGTTAAACATGGGTGCTTCCCACAACTTCATCAAAGATAGCGAGGCAAGACGGTTAGGCCTCTAGGTGGAGAAATCAGATGGATGGCTTAAGACGGTGAATGCTGAAGCTAAACCACTTGGAGGCGTGGCTCGGAATGTTGAGCTACATCTTGGCACATGGAGCGGCAAGGTATCATTTTCTGTTGCACCTTTAGATGATTTTAACCTTGTGCTTGGCATGGAGTTTCTCAGGCAATTCAATGCGATGCCTTTACCATGATACAACTCTATGTGCATCCTTGAGGGAGTTCCATGCATGGTTCTAACGGTGAGCAAGGCTGCACCAAGCAACCAACTCTCCGCAATGCAAATTGAGAAGGGACTTAAACGGAAAAAAGAGACCTTTCTCATCATGCTGCATGAGTTAGAAGATGGGGGAGGTGTGGATATCGTAGAGCCAATACCGGAGGAAATATCCTAAGTCGTTAAAGAGTACAAGGATGTCACGCCACCTGAGTTACCAAAATGCCTTCCACCTAGGAGAGAGGTGGACCACAAGTTTGTCGGGAGCTAAACCACCTGCTAAAGCTTCATATTGGATGTCGCCACCGAAATTAAACGAGTTGTAGAGACAACTCAAGGAACTTTTAGAAGTCAAATTTATCAAGCCTTTGAAAGCACCATACGGAGTTCCGGGTTCTCTTTTAAAAGAAGCATGATGGGTCGCTTCGCCTTTGTATCGACTACCAGGTACTCAATAAGGTAACCATAAAAAACAATTATCCTATTCCACTAATTACCAATTTGTTTGATTAACTTGGACAGGTCAAGTACTTCTCTAAGCTTGATTCGAGATCGGGGTGTTATCAAGTACAGATTGCGGAGGGGGATGAGCTAAAGACCACATGTGTGACACGTTATGGAGCCTTTGAGTTCAAAGTCATGCCGTTCGGCCTCATCAATGTCCCTGCCACATTTTGCACCCTCATGAACCATATCTTCCATCCATACCTTGATCGGTTTGTGGTGGTCTACCTTGACGACATTGTGGTGTATAGCAATACTCTTGAGAAGCATGCTGAGCACTTGTAGATAGTCTTCTGAGTGTTGCAAGAAAATGAACTGTATGTCAAGCGAGAGAAGTGCTCAATTGCCAAGCCGGAGGTCGAGTTTCTCAGCCACAAGATCATAAACAAGAAGCCCCAACAAAGGTTACGGAGTTACGCTCTTTCTTGGGTCTCGTCAATTACTACCGAAGATTCATCAAAGGCTATTCCACCATTGTCACGCCACTCACGGATTTGCTCAAGAAGGTCATAAAATGAGAGTGGACGGTTGATCACCAACATGCCTTTGACTCTTTGAAGAGGGCCATCATGGAGGAGCCAATGTTAGCATTGCCCAACCATTTGAGGTACATACCGATGCATCTGACTTTGCTATTGGAGGTGTATTAATGCAAGATGAATATCTCATAGCATTCGAAAGCCGAAAGCTTAATGATACGGAGCGACAATACACGGTGCAAGAGAAAGAGATGACAGCCATGGTGCATTGTCTACGCACTTGGCGACGCTATTTGGTTGGTTCCAAGTTCTTGGTGAAGACGGATAATGTGGCAACAAGTTA